ATAGAATAGAATAGAATAGAATACCAGTGTTTCTGGGATTGGCTCTGGATCCAACACAACCCTGACCAGGATAAAGCGGTTATTGAAGTTGAGTGAATAAACGCCGCTTCATAGATCCACATATCCAACACATCCTAGAGCTTGTGCTCATGTTACTGTCTATGTGGCGTTTCCTGTGTCTTCCCCCATGGTCACAAGGGGTTCTCTGATTTCCTGCCAACTCACAAAAACAGATCCACCAAAACCCTGGCTGGAAGGATGAATGAATTATATAATATAATCTTGTACTATAATATTGTCAAATGAAAACTTTACCCCTGAAATAACCAATTCTCAGCCATGCAAATGAATAAAAGTTAGAGGCATGGTTAGCATTCATATTTTTTTTTTCAATACTTTAGATATCAAATCATATTATGTTTGTTCAAAGTCATATAAATTTCTTATGAACTCAGGTTGAAATATCAAATTCTCTTGTCATGACCAACAAAGGCATTTAACCATAACTATTAAAACACAGTAAGATTTAAATTACTAAATAAATGACAAAATAAAAAATCTGGATCAAGAAAATCCTAGAAAAGACACTGTATCCTGCTGTGAGGCTGTGAGCCTGTAAAGTGCTCAGACTGATCCACTCAGAGACTGGCATGGGAAATTTCTCTTGGTTTTTTTTTTTATTTAAATTTTTTTATTTCTAGGCTGTACAGACACCACTGGCACACAGTATTTTCACCAGAGGGATACTTTGATTTATTTTTGTTTGCAATATACTAACCCTCACCTTGAAGGAAGAAATCTGCTCTAAATTAACTTACCCAGTCCAGTCTGACTCTCTGAGTTGCTGGTTTGGTGATACAGAAATACTGTGTGTGTATGTATTGTATATATATATATATATATATACTGATCAGCCATAACATTAAAACCACTGACAGGTGAAGTGAATAACACTGATTATCTGGTTATCTGGTTACAGTGGCACCTGTCAAGGGGTGGGATATATTAGGCAGCAAGTAAAGTTGATGTATTGAAAGCAGTAAAAATGGGCAAGTGTAAGGATCTGTGCGACTTTGACAAGGGCCAAATTGTGACAGCTAGACGACTGGGTCAGAGCATCTCCAAAACAGCAGGTCTCGCTACTGTAACACAAATTGCTGAAAAAGTTAATGCTGGCTATTATAGAACGGTGTCAGAACACACAGTGCATTGCAGCTTGCTGCGTATGGGGCTGAGTAGCCACAGACCAGTCAGAGTGCCCATGCTGACCCCTGTCCACTGCCGAAAGCACCTACAATGGGCACGTGAGCATCAGAACTGGACCATGGAGCAATGGAAGAAGGGGGCCTGGTCTGATGAATAATGTTTTATTTTATGTCATGTGGACAGCCAGGTGTGTGCGCATCACTTACCTGGGGAAGATATGGCACCAGGATGCACTATGGGAAGAAGACAAGCCGGTGGAGGCATTATGATACTGTGGGCAATGTTCTGCTGGGAAACCTTGGGTCCTGGCATTCATGCAGATGTTACTTTGACACGTACCACCTACCTAAACATTGTTGCAGACCAAGGACAGCCCTTCATGGCAATGGTATTCCCTAATGGCAGTGGCCTCTTTCAGCAAAATAATGCTCCTTGCCACGCTCCAAAAATTGTTCCGGAATCATTTGAGGAACATGACAAAGAGTTCAAAGTGTTGATTTGGCCTCCAAATTCCCCATATCTCAATCCAATTGAGCATATGTGGGATGTGCTGGACAAGTTAGAACATTGCCCAGAGCATCACACTGCCTCCGTCGGCTTGCCTTCTTCCCAGATGCTCTGAGCCAGTCATCTAGCCATCAAAATTTGGCCCTTGTCAAAGTCACCCAGAGCCTTACACTTGCCCATTTTTCCCACTTCCAACACATCAAACCCTCGAGACTGTTTACTTGCTGCCTAATATATCCCACCTCTTGACAGGTGCCACTGTAACAAGATGATCAATGTTATTCACGTCATCTGTCAGTGGTTTTAATGTTATGGCTGATCGGTGTATATTCTAAAAGACGTTTTAGCTTTATGATTGGTAATTATAAGTATGGATAAGAACAGATAATGTCAAATTGGATTTGAACAGCTTTGCCATCAAAACATACCGGTTAATTAAAGATATTTTGGTCATAATAAGGATTTACGTTAATCTTGATCTGTCTAGGGATATAGTAATCATTAGTGCTTTTTTAATGAGAAAAGAGATTTTATACCTAATCTATAACATTAATGAGCTGAAGTGGTCCTTGTGCCAGCCAAGCCTACTGTTCAGTTATTTACTTAAAAAGTCTGGCTCTCGCAAACGTTGTATATGTCTATAATCATGAAACATCTATCTTTATCACAGAAAACGCCTCTATTTATTTTTTATTTTTCATCTTCTTTTGTACTAACACATTATTTGGACGTTGCATATCATAATCACAGTGCAGATCCAAACAGAAGTACATTTTCATTATATTCTTTTTCAGTCAGTAGATGTGCACCTTTATGAAAAAGTATATTTAAGTGTAGCCTGTATGCATATGTGTGTGAAGAACATTGTGCATCAGTGGATTGTACAAGATCTCAAGTAGTCATCTCAAATTATGGGCCCGAATCAATAATCTTTTTTTTTTATACTGACAGTCAGGGCTTTCGAGAACACTTTTTCCCTATAAAATGTATGATGAGAGAGAAAGAGATTGAGAGAGAGAAAATGGCACGTTGCATTCTTTGCAATCCTCTTTCTTGAAAATTACTAGGAACACTGTGTGCAACTAGAGAAACAAAGAAAAAACATACAAATAAGAGTAAATACAAA